CTTCACTGAGTTACGCAAGCCCCTTCGCCACGACAAGGCAGTGATCCATGAAGGGGAGACTGGAATTAAATGGTGGTTAATTTACTCAATGGATAAGATGGCTGACAGACCTTGTGTGAATGGTGGATATTCACATATAGCCTTCTTTCTTGGCAGCCCTGCTTTGAATGTTCCTATGATCATGTAGCACACTGATTTTGAGCTATAGGGAGAGATCCTAGTGCTGATATGGGGGCGTTTTTTAATGAAAAGAAGAAAGAATTGTTCCTCAATTACAAGTAAACACCACATCTGCTGCCCTTCCCATATGAAATCTTAAGGAATTTCTCCCTTTCTGATTCCCTCACTCCCCCTTTTAATTTAATACCTCTACCTGACATACTTGATAAGGGGGAGAAACACTTAGAATAACATGAATTTTCAATGCGCTGAATGAAGTACTCTTGAATATACTCTATTCTCCTCAGAAAAGGCATCTCCAACTGATTCCACCAATTCTACACCCATAGAGAGCACCATATCTTTTCACCACCTGATTAGTTAGGGCGGATCCTTTGTAAGTTTCTTTCTCTCTGTGTTAGTCAATTGCAGGGTTCTCCCTCTTTTGTCTGATTGTTCCCTAGGCAGCATCTCCTCTCCCCATCTTCCAAGGTCATTCTCACATTCCATTACATTTGCTCACTTTACAACCGGCTTCTGACAAGCAGAGTCCAACTGAGAAGCCAGCGGTGAAATCACAAGTTGTGGTCAGGTGATGTCTTGCTTAATGACTGCATTGTTTAGCAATGGAGCTGCTGGTCCTAATTGTGGTCATTAAATGAGGACTATCTGTACTAAATATCTCAGCAAAGGGAGCCAATTGTTTGCTGCCTTTATAGGGTTTAGTGCAACATTTGAAAAAATTAACAGAGAAATAGTAGGGAGGAAATTGACATCCTCAATATGCAAGTATCATTTTACACAAATACCTGCTTAAGAGTCCAGTTTGGGGTCAACAGAGCCATGACAAGTAGGATCAACACTTCCAAAGGAGTAAGACAGGCGTTCATATTTACAACCCTGATGTTTAATCTATACATCAATGACTCACCAGGACTGATGAAGGATCCTAAAGTACATATGCCTAAGGGACTCAACATACGTTGCAACACTTTGCTATATGCTTAAGATATGATTTTATTAACATAATTGCAAGTTGGGTTGCATAGGTAGTTAAGGAGGCATGGCTCCTACTATCATGATAATGATCTCATTATTAATAAATGGAACTCAAAAGTTGTGGAATTTGGAAAAAGACATAACAGTCACAGATGGCTATTACAGGGAGAGCTTATAGAGCAAGTTAACACATTTCCTTATTTAGGAATAGTCTTCTCCGAGACTTGGTCTTGGCATCCTCATCATCAAAGGAGCTTATTCAGAGTGAGGACACATATGAATTCATTGTTAAAATGAGTAACTTACTCTTATTCAGGTTCCTTAGCCCTAATTATCAAGGTATGTACAGCCAAAGTTAACCCTATGCTCTTACATGGAATTGAATTTTGGGGCTTAAAAGAAGTGCCATTACTAGAGCAAACAATCACAGCTGCTGATGAGAATTTTGGGTTAATAGGACCTCAGCTGCTGCAGTTAGAGCTGAGCTGGGAATTTATACACTTTGTTCCTTGTCAATAATTATGGCATATAATTACTGGTAGAGAATTAACTCTGGAAACTGAGAGACTCCCCAAACTGTGTTTGATAGAACAGACTAAATCTCACTAAGAGACCTCTTCAACTGTACAACTAACACATTATATTAAGAATTGTGGCCTCTCTGTTTCTTGTCCAAGTGTCCCTGGACACATTAAAAAGACAGCCACGTAAAGAATTTTGGATATAGAAGCTCGAAGAGATATAGGTACACTCAGTAAAGCCCGCACATCGAAATGGATGACCTGCTATGAATGCACTTTTCAAATTGGAAAAGATTTAAATGGAGAAATGCCTAAGCACCTCAGGAGGGTATTTACCTGGGTGAGATTTGAGCAGCTGGATACAATGGTTAAATATGGAAGGTTTAGCCAAGTTCCTTGCCATGAAGGTACATGTATTTGTCATGCTCCAGAAACAGAGGACATAGAACATATATTATTTGAATGCCAGTTGTACATTAAAGAGAGAGATCAATATTTTGGACCATGCATTAGACAAATGGCCCATTGTGATCCATATTTTGAACAACGTATTTTATGTGTGGCCAGAACACAAATATTCCCTATAATACGGCCTTTTGTCTGAATAAAACAGAACAATTGAGAACTGCATATTTGGATGTGGTTGGGGTAAATTGTAGGGATGAAACAGAAACATGAATTTTGGTTTCTTTTAGTTCTGCCTTTTATTCTCTTTTGCTATGTATGGTCTTATTATTTATTTCTTTATCGAATTTGTCACCGCCCATCTTGTTGAATGACAAGATTATTGTCTTGTTTTTTCCATTTTCATATAGCTTCACAGTTAATCAAAAAAGTTATTATTATTATGGTTGGTCTCACAATCAGCCAGACATTTAGGCTGGATTTGTCATTTTTATCCATCTATCGAGTCCTTCCCAAGGACCTGGGATAGGCAGATGTTGTTATTTGATGGTGTTAAAGGTATCATTGCAGGATATAAGCTTTCCAAGTTGTTGTTGTTGTTGTTGTTGTTGTTGTTACAGCATATGAGATCAGTGGATTTCAGGGAAACAGATTACTCAGGATGAATAGTGAAAGCTTGGAATGCCTCTGGAATCCAATCATACCTACCTGGTAAAGAACCTGGCGAGAAAAAGAGCC